TGAATCATGTGTGAATCTACCATTTAAGCATGTGCAAACTGACACTGGCTAATGAAGAACTCTATTGTGTATTGGGTATAAGGGGAAATGCTAACCTATATTTTTGCAGAAAACATGGTCATGTATGGACTGGGGATGTAGCTCAGTGGCACAAATGTCTGCCTGGCAAGTGCAAGGTCCTGAGTTTGATTCACAGTACCAAAAAAAAAAAAGAAGATGGTCATGTATAATGTTGAAAAATTCAACCCACTAAATGCAAAATATTGTATTTAGGGTGAGGGATCAAGTGATCGACACACTGAAATTTGTATAAGAAAATTGATAACTGTAGGTTTAGAAAGTAGGATGCAGATATTTTCACATGGGAATCTGGGAGGAGCGCCTAGATAGGAGAAGCAGCAGTCCCCAAGGCAACTCTGGACAGAGGACTGCGGAGACGATCAGTTTGTGTCCAAGAATGGTCAACCAGACTGAAATGAGGGGTACAGGTTGGAGGCGTAAATCGGGAGGCAGCAGTTCTTTATGAGGCTTTTGCTCCTGGTTGTTCAAGACATGGTAGAACTCTGAACGAGAGCGGTAATGTGTGAAGAAGTAGGAAGATTCAAAATATACTGGGGATAGTGATTAGAGAGAGATTGGTCATCGTGTGTTAAAGAGTTATTGGATTTGGACAGCTGTCTGAACAGTGATATCATTGACTGGGCAAGGGCACTAGAAAAGAAATAGGCTCTGGAAGGGAACAGGAGAGATAATTATTTCTATCTCTGACTCATGTAGTTCAAGTACATGTGAAAGATGGGATGTTGGAACTCCCAGCCTTTAGGTTGAGAAAATAAAATTGAAGCCTAAATATCATTACTGTTAGTAAATCACAAAATGTCTGCTTTGTGTTTCTGCTAGTAAAAGTATAAGGTGCATTGCATGTGGGTCCTCAGCCTCTTGAAAAATCAGAGTGCATTTCTACTACAATTAAGCTAACCCTTTGGACTCTTTTTCAGGTGGTATAAACATTTCTGTGCCAGCACCCACCCTTGTGCCTAATACACGTGCTTGCTGCAGTATAGGTGCAAGCGGGCCCCTGTGACTACTGCGGGGAACACGGCTATGGTGAGAAGCACACGTAATGTTATTACCCTCTGCCCCAAGTGAGACCAATAACTTGTTATGAAAGGACATCAAGTGAATGGAAAATCCATATCAAAGAGCGTGTTCTACTTTTATGTCAGTAAACTTGAAGTTGTTTCCTGAGTAATGAGTGAAGTAGAAGCTAAATTTTATGGGATCAAAGGGAAAGTATAAATTTTAGATTTCCTGGCTATAGCAACTGTGAGCCTGTTTATAGATCCAGAGAAGAGATATATGGAAGGAGAAAAAAAAAACTGGTGGAAGAAAGGAAAGCAAAGAGAGGAAAATCTTGGGTGATAAGGGAATATTTCTCTGCTAAATGTTACAGAGAAGAACAATCAATGGTAAACAAAGGCAGAGGAAGGAAAATGACTGGTTGAAAGTGAGCATATCTGACAGGAGATAATGTGCTTCAATTAAGCCACAGAACATAATGTTCTTTAATTGTGGATGAATTACTGAAGCAATTGCCCTTAGTAGAAATTCTAATTTTTTTCTCTAGTCCCAGTGTAAACACCCTAATTTTGTAATCCATGATTTTATTTTCTTTAAGAATAAAAGCATC